CACTGTAAAAGTAAAATACAACTGCTGTTTATTATACACATACGCTGTATCAAAGCCACTCGATCTAGCCGTAGGGTGAACAGATACCAACAAACTACATGAGGCAAAGTGTATGTTTGCATGGGACAAGGCAGGACGGGGTAGAATTAAATTTTGATATATAACTTAAGAGATTAAGACAAGGAAATTATGCAGGTCATAAGTTTGGGATTTGGAAAATAAAGAGATATTCTGTTATATTTATTTAAATTAAATGGTTCAGACTTTTATTGATGGGTTTTCTGCCATCCTGTATTTGGCTTTTGTATTGCAACATCTGTTTAAACAGTTTACAGTTATTTCATCTGCTGTTCTCTCTGTTAATCATCTTTGGGTTTCACGGATTATCCATAGATTTGCAAATCTCTTTTTTAGACACATTTTTGTTTTTACTGAAACCATTTGTTCTGCAGTCCCACTAAAGAGGAATACCTTATCAACCTATAGAAAACACATGCCAGTAAGACAAATTTAAAAAACAAAAACAAAAAGCATGACTGCATAAGAAATATTCAGGAAGAAATAGGCAATGTAGAGTGTGGAGTCACAGGCTACATAGGAGTTGGTTGCATACTATAGCTGAGATCCTAAAAAAGACAGACTTTTTTTTTACTGTGTGTGCAAGCCTATAGTGCCATAAAATCATCCCAAAGCTGTCTGATACTACAATGATGTTTTTGGGACTGCTATAGAGAGGTTGGGGGGTATCTGCCCTCCTGCTGACATCAGGGCTGTCATAAACCCAGTGGAGAGCCTAGCTCTGTTTCAGTATTCCAATCACGTGAGGTCCAGTTTTATCTGTTGAATATGGAGAGCGTCTGTTTTGACACAAGTGATAGAAGCACTGACGGAAGCAACTTAGCAAGATGCCTCTCATCCTGACAAGGCTGAGATGCTCCGAGCAGGGGGGTGCAGAGACTCTGCCGACTCCCTGTCTCATCTGGAAGAGACCCATCTCTACCTTCCACCCCGCCTGGGTCAAACACATCCATCCATCACAGCAACTCCCTTGTTTTCTCCCAGGGCATGGAGCAGTATTTTGCTGCCATTTTTCTCCCCCCACTCGTGGCCGTCAGTCAGGGATGGCTTTGCCGTAATATAACTGACACTGGCTGGCGTTCCGGGAGTAATGAATAGCCTGACTGGGTCTATCAAGAGGAGCAACAGACGCTCCTTCATGCTTCTGCTTTTCTTTATTTCTATCTCTCTCTCCTGTAAGTTCTGCTCCCACATTTCAAACTAAACTAACAAGTGAGACACATTCACCTTTTCTTGCTGCTCTTCCTCACCTCATCTCGTTGTATAAGAAGAGGGAGCCACAGGAAGTGTGCTCCTCTTATGCTTTATACGCATTCATGAATTGCATTTGTGACTTTATAAACATAGTAAATATGAAAAGCAGTTGTTTTTTGTCATTAAAAAGCATATACTCATGCTGTCACAAAAATCACATCTTTCATCTCTACAATTTAACTTTAAATATTTATGTCATGTCAAATTTATCTTTAGACATTTTGTGCTGCATTTACACTACTGATAGTTGTGATTAATAGCTGGCAAGGACAACAGCCATTCATCATCACCTTAAGCTATGTTGATGTGGCTAACTTGTTACTAAATTTATTGTTCAGATTTAGTTCAGTACAAATTTACCCTACAAAATCACAACCACTAATCAGCAACAGCTGTCACATCATAAATGTTTCTGCTGATGAGTGTTTAATGAGCGAGTAACCTATGAATGAGAAGACTTTTGAAGCTATTTTCTGTCCTCACCAGCTAGTTGACAGTAGCAAATAAAAGGATTGTTAGAGCATCTTTAGCATCAGCTAAAGATAACCAACTAACTACAATAGGCCTAGGCTGCTGACACGGGGTGTTTCTTCTTCACTCACCTCTTTTTCACTCTCTGTGTGCACACTACTCGGCATATTCATCTCTGACTGTCTTCCACTCTTCTGTCCTGTTTCCATCCCCTCACCCCCGAACTGGCCACTGCAGATGGCTGCCCGTCCCCAAACCTTGTTCTGCTGGGAGGTTTCTTCCTATTAAAAGGGAGTTTTTCCTTTCCACTGTCACCATGTGCTTGCTCATAGGTGGTCGTTTGATTGTTGGGGTTTTCTCACTATTATAATGAGGTATTTACCTTAAAATAGGGGAGGCAGGGAGCCACAGGAAGTGTGCTCCTCTTATGCATCACACGCATACATGATTTGCATTTGTGACTTTATAAATATAGTGAATATAAAAATCAGTTGTTTTCTTGTCATTAAAAAGCATATACACATGCTGTCACAGGTATTTACCTTAAAATATAAGTGCCTTGAGGTGACAGTTGTTGTGATTTGGTGCTTCATAAATAAAAATGAATTGAACTTAATAAAATAAAATAGTAAAGTTGTAGGAAACCTGCAAGAAAACTATAATAATAAGGTTAAAGACACACAGCTCAGTCAAGCTTAGTGATCCAGCAGAGTTTGGCGATCATCCTCAGTGTGTTTGTCGCTACATTAAGCAAGTCTTTGACAGTGTAATGGATTTCTTAAATCAGTGATGTGTAAGGTACCAACTCGGATTTAAACAATATGGAAATCAGTGTAGCTGTAGTGAAGCTGTAGCAGAGCTGAAGGGGAGATAAAATAATTGGCATCCGCGCCCCATTTCTGTCTTCGCTTGCTCCCCCAATCAATTCCACTCGACCTCCTACCCAATCATTGAAAGGTGACTTTGGGGGTGGCGAGGTGGAGTGCTTATGTCACTGACCCCTACAGTGTGATTGAAGCCTCCCAGTGGGTACCCTTCAGAAGTCAAGGCAGTTGTTGATTAGCTCCTGAGTAAGCAACAACTTCACTGAAGACAATGGCATTTTGATTTAGGCTTAAACAAGCACAACTAAGCTAATAAAGACTGAATGAACAATTCAGAATACAAGATTTCTGCTCATCGCTAACTATGTACAAAATTCTTTACACACTCTTCAGATCATAATCTGTCATCTTTAATCACCACAGCAGTAGCGACTTCATTCAGTTTTTTTTTTTTGCTAATCTCTCTCGTAACAAAGTATTTGCATTTGTTTGAATGAGTCCTCGAGATAAGATTGTTACCTTTACTCAGTATTTATACTGGTCTCCCCCTTATTTTCTTCATTGTTTCCTGCATTTGTTTCCCTCTTGACATTTTACCTTTGCAGACTGGCAGCACCATTAATAGGGTTGGCATTTTAACATAGAGCTTTGACATTTTAATGTATTAATGTGGGAACTGAACCTCTCAGATTGTTCTTTTCACCACAGACCCGGAGAGCCCAGGTTCTCTAATAAATGACCAAAGCGTGAACACCTGAGAGATGACAGAATATGTCATTATGTTCTGAGCTGCTGTTAATAACTCTGGCTCTTTATGTAACAGGTTAATAGTCAAATCAGTGTGTCAGAATTCCCAGAAGAAGCAATTTGTCAGTGGCTGTATTTCATTATTCAAGTAGAGATGAGAGATAGGTAGTCTTTTTGCATAGTCTTTTAGTTTCTAATTAAATTTAAACTGTTTTTATATGGTGCCACGTTGCAACAACAGTTGCCTCAAGATGTTTCGTAGGTACAATGAGAATGTACAATAATGAAAAGACAACTCCAGCAGTTAGGCAAGCACTTGGCAGCAGTGGAGAGAAGAAACTTCCTTTTCACAGGAAGGAAACACCGGCATAATCAGGTTCAGGGAGCAGTAGTCATCTGCCGTGACTTAAAATGCCGATA